CTCTGTTCAACCCCATTCCTTCCCAGGACCAGAAGTTTTAGACCCCGGACTTTAGGAATCTAAAATTTAGAAACTGTAATAAGGTGAGCGAAAGGAGGAAGTGGAAGCCCCATTGAGGCCTTTCAGGAGCCCTACATTGGGACATGGGTCTTGCTGTGACTGCTTATAAAGTACATTTTAATACCTTATCAGTCTTTATATACAATGTCCCTTAGAGGTCCTAGTTCTCAGCATGGAGAGTGGGACATGCCAGAAATCCATTTAGAACAACGGCAAAGCCCCACTCCGATAAATACTAATTGAGTAAAGGATTCCAAACACCACAGCACTGCAGGGATTCAGACACACCTATCAGTGTCCCAGGCTTAGAAAAGTCACATGAAATGCTAACATACACACAGTGCTGCTAAATAAAACAGAATCCACTCCATCCTGAAAATGGGAAGGTAAACTACAAATGTCAAACTCGGCCAGCCTTATGGACTCCTTGGAATAATGAAAAAAATACCAGGCGCTTGTCTTAGAGGTGAGGGACACTAGTCTGTAAGTCAGGTAAGGATCTGAATGAGGTAGGCAGTATCTCGGAGGGTGGGCCACATAACACGGGCAGGAACCCCACTTCCAGAGATGCTGCATTTAAATACGATTGGGGGCTGATGGGCCCATCTCCCTCCTTTTTTAATTATGTTAAACGGATGGGCCTTTTAAGAGGGTGGTTTACTTCTGCAGTGTCCATGTTATCCAATTTTAATTGTTTTCAATTCTTCTTCTATTTCCAACTTTGGAGCATCCAAAACATCTCAGCAGGAGGGCCTTTTCCCATGAAATCATTATTAGTAGCAGTAATTATATATAGGCTCTTAATATAATTCCATATGGAATGTGTTTCCACTTGAGTCACATTTTACTAAATAGCTGGATTGCCCCAAGAATGGTTTGAGAACGCTATAAAGCACATTTTCAATGAAAAGGGATTGCTTGGGACAATAAGGTATGTCAGAGTAGCTTTGTCTGAGAAATAAGATTAATCCTGAAATTAATCACTCAAACAGCATCTAGCAATTTGGAAGCAAAGCCTGAAAGGTAATAAATATGTATGATGGTAGAAAAGCCAGACCATGGGGTGGAGTAAATGGACCCTGGGTTCGGAGGACAGATGGACATGCCAGGAGCTGTGTTCCCTAGCTGTGTGACTCTGGGCAAGTCCCTTCACCCTTCCGAGCCCCCCACTGGCGCTGCTATACAATGGATAAAACCAGGCTTTTGCATCTCCTGAGTAAGGATATAGAGTGCCTTGCCCAGGACACAGCACATGACAGAGACCCAATAAAATGTGGTTCTTGGGTGCCCCAAGGAGGGTGTGAGAGTAACATTCCAGGGGCTGGGAGGGAGACAGGAATGTTCTGGAACACAGCGATTCTGGGAGTGTACAGAGAAGGGAGGCAGGAAGGGAAAGGCCAGGCAGGGGAGAACAAGTTGGGGAAGGAAGCGTGAACTCCGTTCCTGAGCCGAGCTGAGATGCCCCTGGAGCCTCGGCAGGTGCGAGCCAAAGCTGAGCTAAATGGTCTGAGCTAAAGACTTCTGAATGGGCTTTTGTGCAAAACAAAAAAAATCTAGATCATTTTGAGAATCTCCTGGGAGGTACCAATATGTTGCAGTGCAGTCCCAGTTCCGATACTGATAGGATTCATTCCAGATAAAGTGTGAATGCGTTCAAGCTGGCTAGCAGCTGGGAAACTGGAGGAGATCCAACTGACCTTGAGAAACACAAGAAGGTGGTATTTAACGACGTAACAGGTATAATCCCTTCACAGAAATGAGGTAAGGAAGGGCCTGAAGGAAACAGGACCAGCACATATGGAGGGTGGGGAGTGAGGGGAGAGCCTGAAATCCCAGCTCAGCACAGACTGCCAAGGGAGGTTCTCAGGCACTCAGTGCTGTGTGACTAGTGAACGCTATGAAAGGGTAATGACAGCTTTTGGTGCTGAATCTGAGCTTCCACCCCACAACCCAGGGGCGATGGGGAGCACGGTACAATGGGATTCACAGGGAACAAGCAAACCGATGAGAGAGGCGGTAAAAGGGTTGAGTTTCTTCCGTCTACAACCTACAAAATTTGATTGAAACGTTTCCACCACGTGAGTATTAGTTTTGTTTTCGCTCCCATTTCCTTTGCTCACGTCTCTGACAGTGAATACTCTGGGGTAATTCTTTCTGGGAGTGCTGTTTGCTGGTTGACCTCAGGTTACTACACGGTAGAATGAAACTATGCAAGGATACATTCTGTCCTCAGAAACTGATTCGCAGGTACCCAATTATGGCCTAAAATGCAAGAAAGAAAACTAAATGGGGTGGGTCTTTGAGATCAACCTTCTTCATTAGAGATGAGGAAACTGAGGCACCAAATAGGCTGAGAGACCTGCCAAAGTCCCACAGTTGATTAGGACAAATCCAGGAATTTCTGCTTCTGAGCATCAAACAATAGTTATAACGGGATCGATAACAGATGACTCTGTTCTCATGTAGAAGGAAAAAGGAACACAGTTTTTAAAATGCGTGAACTGTGTTTTAGCATTATCTTCCAAGACTGCTTTAAACATTAATATTATCATATAATATGGTTATTACAGTATCACTAGGGCCCCTCGATTTGATTTTTCTAGTTTAAATATGACATCAGTGGGTAAAGTTTCACAGATTTGACACTCTCTGGTGGTGGTGCTCTTTTACAGTGATGGTGTGGATAGAACCTGGCACAACAACACTAGCTGACACACTGGGAAACTGCTACCAAACTTTTAGAAACTCTGAACCAGTGGGTCCGCTACTAAGAATCTGCCCGACGGGTGTACTCACTCAAGCATATATCAAGAATGCTCACTGCATCATAGTTGAGACCCAATTTTGAATAAAAATACAAGAGAGACTGAACTTTCAGACAGCATCACCTGGAATAGCAAATCCATGAAAACAACCCAAAAGTCCTCCAAAAAGGGAGACTAGTTAAATAAATGACAGCATAAGCAGACGATGGAGTATTATACAGCAGTTAAAAACAATGAGGTAGATGTATATGAGGAAGACAATAAAAGATTTATAGTATTAAGTAAAAAAAATAAAAAGCGAAGTACATCGTGTGTGTGTTTGCAAGTATAGGCAACCTTTTTCTGGAAGACTGCACAAGAAATGGTTAATAATATTTACGTTCCGAGAGAAGGACCGGGAGGGACTTTTACTTTTTATTTACTACCTTCTCGTTTTGTATGAAGATGCAAACCATATGCATATATTACCATTTATTCTCTTTATATAATTCTAAAAATTACTATTATACCACCTAATAGAGGTTATTACTTGTTTAACTTTGGAGCTAGAAAGATACTAAGATAATCAGAAAATAATGGGCCCTGTTTGGGATTTTTAATTAAACCCCAAATAATGAATCTGGTGAGATTAGGCCAAGGGTTCATTTGAAATATACTGAATTTGAAATTCTGCTTGAAAATGCAGAAGCAAATCTTCCTTTTCTTGACTTTCCTAAATTTTCAGTCCAGGGCCCCAGACGTTCTCTTAAACAAACCATGGTCTATTTCTTCAGATGGCAAGAAATCTCCCATGGTATTCAGAAAATGAAGACCGTCCTGGCAAGGATGATGCAGCCCCCGTCACGCTCCACTCCCAGCCTTGTAACTGTCATCTCCTCCTCCCCCTCGCCCCCCTCATCCCCCCATTCCCTCTGTCCAGTCTGACCTTCCTCCCACCTTCCCCCTAGTCTTCCTTGAGATCTCAGCTCAGCCGCTTCCTTCTCAGGGACTCTGAATGCCCCCACCTCCCTGGCATTATTCTCCCCATAAGTATGGAGCACCCCATACTTCACAGTACCGCTTAGCATTATGTCAAGTTTATACTGACGTTTCTATGTATTTGGTTAAAGCTGCCTTCCGCTGTAAGCTAAAAGTTCTACAAAGACAGTGGTCATCTTGTTTTTCCTTAAGAGTAGGCCCCAGGACCTATGATGATGGTACACTACGTGAATATGTAAATAAATGACAACTGAATAAATGAACGCCGTCTGTCCTTCACACCGAAGCCCAGCGGCCATGTTAAAAGATGACTCAGACTGTGTCACTCTTGGCTCAGACGCTCAAAGGTCTCCCTCACCTTTGCCTCTGAGGCCCCGCGCGACACCTCAGAGCATCTCTGCAACCTCTCCCCCTTCCACTTGGCTCCAACCCACTAGCCTCCCTGTGACCCTTGAATCCTCCAGGCTTGTTCCTACCTCTGTGCCTTGGCACATGCTGCTCCCATTGCTTAAGAAGTATTTCCCCGGACACTGGCAGAGGCTACTTCTTTACTGCATTCAGGTCTCGGATCGAATGTCACACCTTTAGGGGGGTCTCTGCTGACCACCTAATCTGAAAGAGCCCACGCTGTCCCTCCTCACCCTCATGCTGCTTTATTACCTTTCACTGTATTTATAACGACCTGGCCTCATGGTCTGTTTCTCCTGCCCAGACGGTAAGCCCATAAGTGTAGGGATTGTGTTTTGTTTGATGCTACATCCTTAGACCCAAGAGCACTGCAAGCCCTCGATGAACATTTGTGCACAGATATATCTACACAGAGAGAAAAATCAATACGGGAAACAGAGACAGGGTTAGAGTCTGCTTCTCCCAAAACCTAAAAACCATAAGCATAACTAGTTGTACTCAGGGGCGTTAACCACATTTTATTTTTCTTAATAAATGAACTAAATGAGTGAACATTTCTCAACTTCTGACTATAGAGCAGATGACACTGACAATGAGCTATAAACAAATGTGTGGATAACAGGCTTGCCTGTACTTTTCATTCATAAAGTAAACAAAGTGAACATGGCTTTAAAAGTAAAGAAAACATTATTCCAAGAGCAATAAACTTTATGCACTATACTAAAACCTCCACGTGTTTATCCCAGCGTGTGTATTTGACAATTAAAAAACAGTCAAGTGCTTGCTTACCCATTCTCCTAAAATGCGTGACATGGCTTCATTGGCTCTGGTCATATTCCTACAGGCCAGGATCACATGAGCACCATGGAGGGCAAAAGACTTGGCGGTTTCAAACCCTATGGTTTAAAGGAAAGTCAATATTAGAAATCACAAATGCAAAATGCTGAGTCATGATGAATGGCCTTTACGAGCACCACACATTACCTTAGTGGTTCTCAACCAGAGGCAATTTTGCCCCCTAGGAGACAGTTGCAAATGTCTAGAGACATTTTCAGTGGCCACAGGTGGGGATGGCATTCAACAGGTATCTAGTGGATAAAGGCCAGGGATGCCACATATCCTGCAATGCCCAGGACAGCCCCCGCAGCAAAGACACCGAAAGGCTGCAGGTTTGACTCCCAGTCAAGGCACATACCTAGATTGTGGGTTTGATCACTGGTTGGGGCACCTACGGAAGGCAACTGATTGATGTTTCTCTCTCTCTCAAATCAATAAAAACATATCCTCAGGCAAGGCTTAAAAAATATATTATATATATATTATATATATAATATATTTTTTCCCCCCAAAACAAACCTGTTATTGACAAAATAACCTCTAGCAAAGGACTTTTTATTACCAGAAAGAACACATCTGACATGTTGGCAGCAATGGGCTGCGGGCATAAGTTTGCACCTGGTCTCCCTTAGATAATTCCTGACTGTGGTTATGGCTGGGCCATCTGTCCCCGTGTTGTGGGAAATTACAGTGTGGCTCTTCCATCTTCCTTATCTGAGCAACGCCTTACACGCTGCTAGTCTACTCTTAAAAGCTGCAACAGACAACTCCGTTTCCTCATGCTTTACAACTGCCTTTGGAACAGAAACAAAGCATGGATATTTCAAAAGATGATGGCTTAACAGGAAGGACCATAACATTTTTATAGTGAACCATATCTCTAGAGTGTGGAGTTTTGTAAAAAAAAAAAAAAAAGTTTAATAATGCTACCTACTGCGAAAGTCCTGGAAAAGTGCAGGAGAAGAGCATCCCTCACTCCCGTAAGACCACGGCTATGACCAGTTTAATTAGCTAAATGTAGTAATGCTAAGCCAATTCTGCACAGTGCCAAAGTTTGTGCAAAATATTGAAGGCAATGGTTTACTAAATTTAATAACCTGATTCATCTTATAAAAAATTAACTTTATGACAATGCTTAAATTGAATCAGCTTAACTGCACAGAGGTGGCAAGAGTGTGTTCGGAAGAATATTTAAAGGTAATAGTACAAAGAAAATAAGGGAACACATTTTAAAACAACGGTAGCATCAGTTTTCCTACACTTGTTCCAGATGATCTGATCGGGAAAATGAAGAGGTCATGGAGGCTTCATATCTCTGTCTTGGGTTTTAAGCTCTGTATACAGACTTTAAAGTACCATAAAAGGTAAAACATACCAAAAATATTAAATACCTGTTTATCTTACACTAGTTTTCATTCTCTAGAATGGTGATCACAGGATAAATCAAGCCCAGGCACCTGTTTTGTTTGGCCGACCTTTGTTTCCCTCCCTCTCCCTCCCTCCCTTCCTTCCTTTCTAATATGAATTAGTTGCCAGCATTTAAAAAATCAGGGAGATCACATATATGAAAGTAGACATCCAACTTCTCAGAAAAACCTTACCACGCTGGGCCCCCAAACCCCCTTGCTGCTGCTGCAGGCTAGAGATGGGGCTTGTACCGTCCTGATGGCCAAGGCAACCACCCACACTGCTGACAAACCTGTCAGGCCACTGAAGGCCTTTGACGCTCAGATGTGCGTTATCTGGGGAAGATTCCTGCTAGAGACAATGGCTCAGGCCTTACCACAAAACAGCCTCAAACCGAATGTTCACATCTGAACTGCCAAATCTCAAAGAATGTTTCACGTCGACCTGCTTGAGATTTTATTTAAGCCACGTCGAGTCCTACACTACCAAGCACGAGATGATCAGGACTAGCTGGGCCTGGGAAGACCTGGCGGCAGCACTAGGCTTTGCACAGAGAAACACAAGGGCGAGGACTCAACTTGGGATCTGCAGGGGCTTGGATTTACAGCGCAAGTTCCTTTACCCTCCTTCTTTGCATCTCCCAAATGTCACTGCGTAGTAGCGGGAACCCTGGACCAAGAACTATATTGGGACCAAAGGACACAGAGATGAACCAGACAAGCAATAAAGAGAGGGTGCGTGGCAAAGCAAGGCCAAGGGTCGGCGAGGGTCCCATGTGAGTGAGAAACAGGAAACGCAACAGGAGATGAAACCCTGGGCCCCAAACTAAAACCCTGGGGCTCTTTTGTACATGGCAGGCATCATGTGAAAGAACTTGGGCAGGAAGTAGCACTACAAATTATTATTATTATTATTATTATTATTATTATTATTATTTCATCCATTTAAGATGCCTCTGGTGGTCACACAGAAGATAGACTCGCTGAAGACACTGAAGCCTTGTGACCAGCCAGGAGGGGATGAGATGCCCTCTTATGCTGAACAGCTAAGGGGAAACTAGAAAACCATCTGGGAAGCAAAAATCTATAAAGCCTGAGGACTGCCCGAGTCCACTTTTGAGAGAGTACCCAAGCTCTCCAAGGATGCCAGCTGGGCGACCGGTGAGGTTGGCAATTGGTTTACCCAGACAAGGGATACAGACCAGATGGAGGGGTGGTGTGTCTATAGCGCAGGGGGTGGGACAGTGGCCACACCCAATGAGACGCACTGCAAGGTTGGATGGACAGGGATAGTCACCGAGTCCTCAGGCACGAAGAACATCAGGCTGGGAACCCAGGCCCAGCAACTACTGACAGGGCCCCCACTGAAATAGGAGCTGAAAACAAGGCCATTTCTCTCCCCAACACCAGGAAGGTTCTTCTCATTTGAGTTTTTTAATTTTCTCCATATTGTGGATCTACTTGGGCAGTGTCCCCATTTACTGTAAATTATGGTTTTAATTATCATTTTTATTAAGATGCCCAAAGGAGCTGGGGCTTACGGCACCCGCAATTTCTAATGGGTTGTTATTATTAATTTATAATTGTGGAACACTGGAGACAAATGTTACTTGTAACTGTACACAATTAAAAGGCCACAGAGATGGTGATTCCCTCCCCCCCAGCACCCCACCCCCTACAAGAACAGACCACTAACGCATCTCTAGGAACCAACCAACAAGTTGCAGAATCTTCCAGCACGAGTCATCTCCCTCCCCGGAGACCTACTGCCACATATACAGCAAGAAGATAAGCTTAATGTCTTTCACCCTGAGTTAGACCTGGGGACAATTCAAGTTTGGGGTCAATTTTTGTGTTAATAAACCAGTAGCTTAAAGGATGCGAGTTTCTTCTACGTTCTCCTACAAGTATAAGGACCCTGCTTTCCACACTGATCTGATTAATGTAAGTGAAATTACGGTGACATGACTCTGACCATGATACTGAAATCTAACTCTCCGAGGGTACTTCAGGGGAAGTTTCGGACATACATTCACCACAAAAGTAAGGCCAATGCCACAAGCACAGTAACCAGAGAATCCACAGTGCTGTTTCTGTAGTCACTTTAATTACCCAAATGATCACATTTACCTCACACACCATTTCGATTACATAGTTCTCAGTTCCAAAGAATTATAAATTGTGCTCGCTAAACACTAACCACAGCTGCCAACTCGAGAAATTACAAAACTACACAGGTCTCTCCAGGGGAAAATAAGTCATAACCAGCCCTGCTTTTAAATGTATCTGTAATATACAGCTAGCAACAAGGGGTTCCTAAATCCCCCTGATAACATAAACGGATCTCAAATATAAATACATACCAAAGAAAGATACCGATTCGAGAGATGAGAATACAGAAGCAGGGAATGGTCGGCTCAACGCGGAATATCTTTTTGAAATATCACCAGGCGGCATTCACATGCTGTGGGCAGGATAATGTTTTGTAAAGCTACATAATAAATTCCAAGTGACTTCCCGGGATCTCTCAGGAGGCGACGCTGACCCGCAGGCTGCCTACTCCTGCTGCCTCTGAGCTGGGTGAGTAAGCTCTCATCTAGCCTTCCGGGGACAGGGCAGATTCCAGGGTGTTAAGAATCACAGTGAGGCCCGGCCGGCGTGGCTCAGCGGTTGAACATCGACTTAGGATCCAGGCGATCAGGGTTCGATTCCCGGTCAGGGCACACGCCCGGGTTGCGGGCTCGATCCCCAGTCGGGGGCGTGCAGGAGGCAGCCGATCAATGACTCTCTCATCATTGATGTTTCTCTCTCTCTCTCTCACTCTCCTTTCCTCTCTCTGAAATCAATAAAGATATATAAAAAAAAAAAAAAAATGAATCACAGTGAGGAAAAGGCCCAAAGATTACAATGAGCATGGGTCTAGGCAGGCCCAGTGAAGACAGAACCTGTAAGGGCAACGAAACTGTGCAGCGTCCATGTCAGAAAGGGTACGGGGGAACCAGGCAACTGCATATATGAACAGGAGAGAAGAGGGGAGCAGAATACAAAATGTCTCAGCATCTTTGGGGGGCGATGGGGCTCTAGCTATCAAATCGTACGTGGACATGCCCTTGACCCAGCTTTTCCACCATCAGTGAGGTTAAATAAATTACACAGCAGGAATAGAACAAAACACTGTGCTGCAATTTAAAAGGGTGAGGTGAAGTGAGATGGAGACACCAGAAAATATCTACATGTTACATTAGTCAAGAAGAAAAATATCAAAGTACAAAACAGCATGCAGATATGACCCCACTGATGAAACACAAAGGTAGGAAAGGCATGTGCTTGATATGCGTGAACGCTGATTACTTTGGGCAAGAAAGCTGCTGGTCAGGGGCAAGGAAGACTGATTGTGCATTAGAGAACACCTATGCTATTTCAAGTGTTAACACATGCATGTATGCCTGTTACAGAAGGAAACCAAAAATAAAAAAACTGAATGATACCTAGTTGGTAATTTATAGGCCTTCATAAATGTTAATACAGAGACATGAAGGTAAATGGGAATGGGAAGAAACCTATTTCTATGCCACACAGTACATTTTCTGAGGATTCTTAGTTTTAGAGAAGACCTCTGAAAGAATGTAAGTTGGAGGACATGGGGCATTATT